ACCGATTTATTATCCTTTTAGGATATATTTTTATCTGCGTTTTGGTTAATCCACCGAAAAGGACAGATATAAGATGCGGAGAAAACGCTAAGAAAAAAGTTGTCTTTATACAACTTGACTTTTATTTTTGAATTTCATTATTATGTCTGGCTGGCATTCTTTACATGGCTATACGCCTATCTTGCCTTGGCGCGCTACAGCAAGACTGGACACTGTCACCCAATGTAACTACACCAGTCGGAGAGGAGAGTGAACTACTGCTTCTATGGTGAGTGCTAAGTAGATATAAGCTTGCCAGCTCAATAAAGTGCCAAAAATGCGCACTGGCCATATACTGTTACATGAAGTGTCATCGTAGGGTGTAAAGCAAGTGCCGTGCTAAGAAACCTCAACTCTGTGGTATCGTTACAGCCCTTTAGTGAAGCCCGCAAAATATGGTGTGTTATACAGTACCAGTCAAAAGTTTGGACACACCTACTCATTTAAGGGTTTTTCTTTATTTTAAAAATGTTTTACATTGTAGAGTAATAGTGAAGACATCAAAATTATGAAATAACACATGGAATCATGTAGTAAGCAAAAAAGTGTTAAACAAACCAAAATATTTTTTATTTGAGATTCTTCAAATAGGCACCCTTTGCCTTGATGACAGCTTTGCACACTCTTGGCATTCTCTTAACCAGCTTCACCTGGAATGCATTTCAATTAACAGATGTGCCTTCTAAAAAGTTAATTTGTGGAATTTCTTTCCTTCTTAATGCGTTTGAGCCAATCCGTTGTGTTGTGACAAGGTAGGGGGGGTATACAGAAGATAGCCCTACTTGGTAAAAGACCAAGTCCATATTTTGGCAAGAACAGCTCCAATAAGCAAAGAGAAACGACAGTCCATCATTACTTTAGGACATGAAGGTGAGTCAATATGGAACATTTCAAGAACTTTAAAAGTTTCTTCAAGTGCAGTTGCAAAAACCATCAAGGATATGATGAAACTGGCTCTCATGAGGACCGCCACAGGAATGGAAGACCCAGAGTTACCTCTGCTGCAGAAGATAAGTTCATTAGAGTTACCAGCCTCAGAAATTGCAGCCCAATTTCTCAGAGTTCAAGTAACAGACACATCTCAACATCAACTGTTCAGAGGGGACTGTGTGAATCAGGCCTTCATGGTCGAATTGCTGCAAAGAAACCACTACTAAAGGACACCAATAAGAAGAAGAGACTTGCTTCGGCCAAGGAACACAAGCAATGGACATTAGACCGGTGGAAATTTGTCCTTTGGTCTGGAGTCCAAATTTGAGATTTTTGGTTCCAACCGCCGTGTCTTTGTGAGACGCGGTGTGGGTGAACGGATGATCTCCGCATGTGTATTTTCCACTGTAAAGAATGGAGGAGATGGTGTGGGGGTGCTTTTCTGGTGACACTGTCTGTGATTTATTTAGAATTCAAGGCACACTTAACCAGCATGGCTACCACAGCATTCTGCAGCGATATGCCATCCCATCTGGTTTGGGCTTAGTCGGACTATCATTTTGTTTTTCAACAGGACAATGACCCAACACACTTCCAGGCTGTATAATGGCTATTTTACCAAGAAGGAGAGTGATGGAGTGCTGCATCAGATGACCTGGCCTCCACAATCCCCAAACCTCCACTTGATTTGAGATGGTTTGGGATGAGTCGGACCACAGAGTGAAGGAAAAGCAGCCTACAAGTGTTCAGCATATGTGACAACTCCTTCAAGACTGTTGGAAAAGGGGGCAATGCAAATGGGCCGGGTAGCCATGATTAGCTGTTCAGAAGTCTTATGGCTTGGGGGTAGAAGCTGTTAAGAAGCCTTTTGGACCTAGACTTGGCGCTCCGGTACTGCTTGCCGTGCGATAGTAGAGAGAACAGTCTATGACTAGGGTGGCTGGAGTCTTTGACAATTTTTAGGGCCTTCCTCTGACACCGCCTGGTATAGAGGTCCTGGATGGCAGGAAGCTTGGCCCCAGTGATGTACTGGGCCGTACGCACTACCCTCTGTAGGGCCTTGCGGTTGGAGGCCGAGCAGTTGCCATACCAGGTGGTCATGTAACCTGTCAGGATGCTCTCGATGGTGCAGCTGTAAAACTTTTTGAGGATCTGAAGACCAATGCCAAATCTTTTTAGTCTCTTGAGGGGGAATAGGCTTTGTCATGGTGTGTTTGGACCATGATAGTTTGTTGGCGATGTGGCCACCAAGGAACTTGAAGCTCTCAACCTGTTCCACTACAGCCTGTTCCACTACGGTGCTCAGTCCTCTTTTTTCCCCCTGTAGTCCACAATCATCTCCTTTGTCTTGATCACGTTGAGGGAGAGGTTGTTATCCTGGCACCACACGGCCAGGTCTCTGACCTCCTCCCTATAGGCTGTCTCATCGTCGTCGGTGATCAGGCCTACCACTGTTGTGTCGTCGGCAAACTTTATGATGGTATTGGAGTCGTGCCTGGCCATGCAGTCATGGGTGAACAGGGAGTACAGGAGGGGACTGAGCTCTACGGACAATTCCTTTTGACCTCATGGCTTGGTTTTTGCTCTGACATGCACTGTCAACTGTGGGACCTTTACATAGAGAGGTGCTTGCCTTTCCAAATCATGTCCAATCAATTGAATTTACCACAGGTGGACTCCAGTCAAGTTGTATAAACATCTCAAGGATAATCAATGGAAACAGGATGCACCTGAGCTCAATTTCGAATCTCATAGCAAAGGGTCTGAATACTTAGGTAAATAAGGTATTTCTGTTTTTTATTTTTAATAAATTAGCAACATTTTCTAAAACCCTGTTTTTCGCTTTGTCATTATAGGGTATTGTGTGTAGATTAATTGAGTATTTTTATTTATTTAATCCATTTTAGAATAAGGCTGTAACGTAACAATGTGGAAAAGGGGAAAGAGTCTGAATAATTTCAGAATGAATTGTATATACGCAACATACAACAATTTCAACGATTTTACAAAGTTACAGTTCATATAAGGAAATTAGTCAATTGAAATGAATGAATTAGTCCCTAATCTATGGATTTCACATGACTGGGCAGGGGCACAGCCATGGGTGGGCCTGGGAGGGCATAGGCCCACCCACTGGGGAGCCAGGCCCAGCCAATCAGAATTAGTTTTCCCCCACAAAAGGGCTTTATTACAGACAGAATTGCTCCTCAGTTTCATCAGCTGTCCGGGTGGCTGGTCTCAGACCATCCCGCAGGTGAAGAAGCCGGATGTTGAGGTTCTGGGCTGGCGTGGTTACACATAGTCTGCGGTTGTGAGGCCGGTTGTATGTACTGCCAAATTCTGGCAGTATGTACAACTGTTGGAGGCAGCTTATGGTAGAGAAATGAACATCCAATTCTCTGGCAACAGCTCTGGAGGACATTCCTGCAGTCAGCATGCCAATGGCACACACCCTCAAAACTTGAGACATCTGTGGCATTGTGGTGTGTGACAAAACTGCATGTTTTAGTTGCCTTTTATTGGCCCCAGTAGAAGGTGCGCCTGTATAATGATCATGCTGTTTAATCAGCTTCTTGATATGCCACATGTCAGATGGATGGATGATCTTGGCAAAAGAGAAATGCTCACTAACAGGGATGTAAACAAATGTGTGCACAACATTTTGGAGAAATAAGCTTCTTATGCATATGGAACATTTCTGGGATCTTTTATTTCCGTTCATGAAACATGGGACCAACACTTTACACGTTGCGTTTATATTTTTGTTCAGTATGTATGCATGCATGCATACACGCATACATACAGTGCCTTCAGAAAGTATTTACACCTCTTGACTTATTCCACATTTTGTTGTTACACCCTGAATTTAAAATGGATTGAGATTTTGTGACAGATCTACACACTATCCCAAAATGTCAAAGGGGAATTTTGTTTTTAGAATTTTTTACAAAGCTGAAACGTCTTGAATCAACAAGTATTTAACCCCTTTGTAATGGTAAGCCTAAATAAGTACAGGAGTAAAAATGTGCTTAACATGTCAAGTCTGTGGGCAATAATGGTGGTTCAACCACAAAGACCAGGGAGGTTTCCCAATGCTTCGCAAAGAAGGGCACCTATTCGTAGATGGGTGAAAATAAAAAAAGCAGACACTGAATATCCCTTTGAGCATGGTGAAATTATCAATTACGCTTTGGATTGTGTATCAATACACCCAATCAGCATGGCTACCACAGTATTCTGCAGCGATACGCCATCCCATCTGGTTTGGGATTAGTGGGACTATCATTAAACAAAATTTTTAAAAACTCTTACGCGGCCTGCCCAAACGGGCTCGGGAGAGGCGAAGGTCGAGTCATGCGTCCTCTGAAACATGACCCGCTAAAACCGCGCTCCTTAACACCCGCCCACTTAACCCGGAAGCCAGCTGCACCAATGTGTCGGAGGAAACACCGTTCAACTGACGACTGAAGTCAGCCTGCAGGTGCCCGGCCCGCCACAAGGAGTTGCTAGAGCGCGATGAGCCAAGTAAAGCCCCCCCACCCGGCCAAACCCTCCCCTAACCAGGACGACCCTGGGCCAATTGTGCGCCACCCTATGGGACTCCCGGTCTCGGCCAGTTGTGACACAGCCTGGGATCGATCCCAGATCTGTAGTGACTCCTCAAGCCCTGTGATGCAGTGCCTTAGACCACTGCGCCACTCGGGAGGCCCCTCCGCCCAAGAATTTAAATGGCAGAAAAATCCCTGCTTAGAAGAGATTTAAAATGGCTACAATTGTTTCGTGGCCCGCCACCGAACATGTCCTTTGGATTTGGCATGCAGTTTGATTACAGTTGATACTGTTTCCAGGATGAACCACCTCTGTAGGGTAGGGTTGTTGTTGCGCTGTCTTGGTGTTTTTCATTTGGAGGAAAAATGTAATAAACACCGGAAATCTGTTTTTTCTATAGTCCTATGCTTTAGCTTACAGTGGTAAGATCATAGGGTATGTTGGTGCCAGTGAAATGTAATTGTCAAAGGGCCCCAGCAGCACTGCTGCTGTCTTTTAGAGCCCTCTGCTGGATATTAACTTGCATCTCTTACAGTGGAGGAGTGAAAAATGTCTTGAAAGGTTTTTTATATGTCAATGCCGGACACAACTTCTTAAGCAATTACAAAATATTGAAATCATCTGTCTCTCTCTGTCTGTCTGCAGCTTTGTGGTGTAACTGCACCACAGCCCAGTGTCAGAAGACTGGCTCCCAGTGTGAGACAGACGGGGCCTGCATGGCCTCCACATCCTTCATCGACGGCCAAGAGCAGCACATTCGTATCTGCATCACCCGGGACAAGCTGGTACCCCCGGGCCAACCCTTCTACTGCCTGAGCGCTGAGGGCCTCCTCAACACACACTGCTGCTACACTAACTACTGCAACAGCCTCAACCTCAAAGTGCCATCTGGTGAGCTCCACACACATTCAACAGGGATAGGCTATCTGCTGCCATAGAAGACATTGGTCTCAAACATAGTTCACAGTTGTGTGTGGGTTGTTATGTTTACTCATTAAATATATACTGAATTAAAATATAAATGCAACATGTAAAGTGTTTCATGAGCTGAAATAAAATATCCCAGAAATGTTCCATATGCACAAACAGCTTATTAATGTTGTGCACAAATGTGTTTACATTTTTACATCCCTGTTAGTGAGCATTTCTCCTTTGCCAATATAATCCATCCACCTGACAGGTGTGGCATATCAAGAAGCTGACTAAACAGCATGATCATTACATAGGTGCAACTTGTAATGGGGACAATAAAATGTCCCCAGCACAATGTGCAGTTTTGTCACACAACACAATGCCACAGATGTCTCAAGTTTTGAGGGAGCATGCAATTGGCATGCTGACTGCAGGAATATCCACCAGAGCTGTTGCCAGATAATTGAATGTTCATTTCTCTACCATAAGCCGCCTCCAACGTTGTTTTAGAGAATTTGGCAGTATGTCCAACCGGCTTCACAACCACAGACCACATGTAACCACGCCTGCCCAGGACCTCCACATTCGGCTTCTTCACCTGCGGGACGGTCTGAGACCAGCCACCCGGACAGCTGATGAAACTGTGAGTTTGAACAACAGAAGAATTATCAGAAACCATCTCAGGGAAGCTCATCTGCGTGCTCGTCGTCCTCAACATGGTCTTGTATGGCGTCATGTGGGCGAGCACTTTGCTGATGTCAACATTGTGAAAAGAGTGCCCCATGGTGGCGGTGGGGTTATGGTATGGGCAGGCACAAGCTGTGAACAACTAACACAATTGCATTTTATCGATTGCAATTTGAATGCACAGAGATACCGTGACGAGATCCTGAGCCCCATTGTCCTGCCATTCATCCTCCACCATCACCTCATGTTTCAGCATGATAATGCACGGCCATCACCCATGTTGCAAGGATCTGTACACAATTCCTGGACGTTCCCGCCAATATCATGCAACTTCGCGCTGCCATTGAAGAGGAGTGGGACAACATTCCACGGGCCACAATCAACAGCCTGATCAACTCTATGCAAAGGAGATGTGTTGCGCTGCATGAGGCAAATGGTGGTCACACCAGATACTGGCTGGTTTTCTGATCCATACCCCTACCTTTTTTTTAAGTATCTGTGACCAACGGATGCATATCTGTGTCCCCAGTCATGTGAAATCCGTAGATTAGGGCCTAATTTATTTATTGAAATTGACCGATTTCCTTATGAACTGTAACTCAGTAAAATAAAAAAAATAAAAAAAAAAAGTGAAAAAAATTTAAAAAGTGTTTTTTTTTATATTTTTGTTCAGTGTAAATTAAATGTGAAATATGTATTTATTCTCATTGTCTCTCTTCACTCTTTCTCAGTGACGCTGCGGCCGGGCCTGGGGGGCGGCTTTGGCCCTGATGGTACATGGGGTCCGGTGGAGCTGGTGGCAGTGATCGCAGGGCCCGTCTGCCTGCTGTGTGTGCTGCTAATCATGGGTGTGTTCCTGTTCCAGTACCACCAGAGGGCCTACAGCCACAGGCAGAGGCTGGAGGTGGACCCCTCCTGTGACCACCTCTACATGGCCAAGGACAAGACCCTGCAGGACCTCATCTACGACATGTCCACCTCTGGATCAGGCTCTGGTCAGTACAGCACAGCTGGGGCTCTCTCTGGGTGTCTGATCTATTGAATCAGTCATAAAACAGGAACAAATAAATTAGTGACTGTGGCTTTAATGATGTCTTCCATAGAAAAATTAAATCCATAGGGGGAAATGTGGTTGATATTCTGTGGTTGATATTAGGCAATGTGATTCATTGTCTGACCGTATATTCCTCTCTCTTTTTGCCTTGTCTCTGTGTCCCGTATGTCTCGGTCCTCTCCCTCCTCTGTCTCTGTGCAGGCCTCCCTCTGTTTGTCCAGCGGACGGTGGCCAGGACCATTGTGCTGCAGGAGATCATAGGGAAGGGGCGTTTCGGAGAGGTATGGCGTGGCCGCTGGAGAGGAGGAGACGTGGCGGTGAAGATCTTCTCATCCAGAGAGGAGCGCTCCTGGTTCCGGGAGGCTGAGATCTACCAGACCGTCATGCTGCGCCACGAGAACATCCTGGGATTCATCGCCGCAGACAACAAAGGTAAACACTGGCCGTCGTCGTGTGACATCACAACAGATTTTCCCCTTCAAAGAGCACTGCTTGTAGCTTTCTGGTGTTTAGGTCAGTTTTCCGTATTAGGTGGTGTAGTGTCTAAAAATTGGTCTCTAAACTTAGTCTCTCTTTCTCTCATAGATAATGGCACATGGACCCAGCTGTGGCTGGTGTCAGACTACCACGAGTACGGCTCTCTGTTTGACTACCTGAACCGTTACTCCGTCACCATCGAGGACATGATCAAACTGGCACTGTCGGCTGCCAGCGGCCTGGCACACCTGCACATGGAGATCCTGGGAACACAGGGTGTGTGTGTGTGTGTGTGGTACTTGTGCCCGTGTGCCCATGTGCAAACTGGATTGCATGTTGCTGTATGTGTGTATTCTTCTGGACTCTTTGATTTGTTCCCTACTCCCCCTTTTCCTGGCCTCTAGCTCTGCAAACAGTGAATGTAGGCCATGCTTCTAGCTGGTAGGAAACTCCAGTTCGGGGTTATTGATCTGCCTAGTATGAGTTGCATAGCAGCCCCTCTAAACTAAAGCATCTCTTGATAGGTCAATTATTAACGTCATTCAACATTTGAAGTTTTGTTGACTGTCATTGGAAGCCAGTGGTATACTGCAGATAACCATGATTGTTTGATTTAAATGAATTGGACAACATAAAACACATTTCACACAAACATGTTAATGATCAGTTACATGAGTTCAATTGATTGCCAGGAATGCAGTAATTGTCAGGTAGGCTAACTCTCTCGGCCTTCGTCTAGGTAAGCCTGGTATTGCCCACCGGGACCTCAAGTCTAAGAACATCCTGGTGAAGAAGAACAGTACCTGTGCCATCGCTGACCTTGGGCTGGCAGTGCGCCACGAGTCTACCACTGACACCATAGACATCGCTCCCAACCAGAGAGTGGGCACCAAGAGGTACAAACACACACATACCCTCAACCTTAAGAAGTACTTGATTTCTCAACTTCACCCACTGACCCCCCCCCCCCCCCCCCCCCCCCCAATACATCCCACCACCTATCAGGGATATAGACCAGCTTACAAACACATATTTGCTCTCTTTCAGGTACATGGCCCCTGAGGTCTTGGATGAGAGCATCAACATGAGGCACTTTGATTCGTTTAAGTGTGCAGACATCTACGCTCTGGGGCTGGTCTACTGGGAGATCGCACGCCGCTGCAACGCTGGAGGTCAGACAGGCTCCCCCCTCAGCACACTCTGGCTGAGTCCCAACTGGCACCCTATTCCCTATATCAGGGATCATCAACTAGATTCAGCCTCGGGACGATTGTTTCTTGAGCGGATGGTCAGAGGGCCGGAACATAATTACAAATAATTTGTAGGCTGCAAATTGACCCAAGAAGCCCAAAGAGATATAATATTTGACTAAAACTTAATCATTTCAAACCTTGCTTACATTTGTATTCGATCACATACACTGAATGTACAAAACATTTCATAGACTGACCAGGTGAAAGCTATGAACCCTTATTGATTTCACTTAAATCCACTTCAATCAGTGTAGATGAAGGGGAGGAGACAGGTTAAAGAAGGATTTTGTATGTGTGCCATTCAGAGGGTGAATGGGCAAGACAAAAGATTTAAGTGCCTTTGAACGGGATATGGTAGTAGGTGACAGGCGCACCGGTTTGTGTCAAGAACTGCAACGCTGCTGGGTTTTTCACGTTCAACAGTTTCCTGTGTGTATCAAGAATGGTCCACCACCCAAAGGACATCCAGTCAACTTGACACAACTGTGGGAAGCATTGGAGACAACATGGGGGGAAGGTGTTCTGTTTTGTTTTGTACACAGTGTATATCTCTCTATTATGCGTGGGAATACTTTGGAACAGATTTCCTAAATTAAAATCACTTGAAGCTGATTTGCTGGTGTTTTTACAGTCTTTTTTATGTCCAACAAAAAAAAATTTAAAAAATAACTTGGGTGCCAAATAAAATCTCCCGCACGCCGAATTCGGCACGCCAGTTGGGGAACCCTGCCCTATATAGTGCACTACTGTGGAACAGGGCCCATAGGGCTCCCTATAGTAGTGCACAATATAGGGAAAAGGGTGTCATTTGGGTTGCATACAGTATCTCTGTCACTGTAGTTAAAAGTTTAATTCACCATCAATTAGAAACTGGACCTTTCCTGACCTTTGACCTCTGCCCCTAGGTATCCATGAGGAGTACCAGCTTCCCTACTATGATCTGGTGCCCTCTGACCCCTCCATAGAGGAGATGAGGAAGGTGGTGTGTGACCAGAAACTACGGCCCAACGTGCCCAACTGGTGGCAGAGCTACGAGGTAGGGATGGACACATATAGCTATGCATGCTCTTTTAAGGTCAATCAAACGATCCTATTATGATAGCACAGCAGTCGCTCACTGATATGAAAGTGTCACTGGTTTCTTATAAGTATTACATTGTATGCTTGTGTATTTAAATGAAGTATGTTCATTTGCCGGGCTTGTTCTCTGGGGGTGCATTGGTGGTTTTGATAAGCTTGTTTAGCCCTGTGCATATCTGCACCATATTTGCATGTATGACTTTCTCTAATCTCACTTTCTTCATGTTCGCTCTACCCTTGGTCCAATTTTCCTGCCCAGAGCTTTAGATAACACTCTACTTTATCTCTCCTTATTTTTTCCCCTCCCCCCAGGCCCTGCGTGTAATGGGAAAGATCATGAGGGAGTGTTGGTATGCCAACGGAGCCGCCCGCCTCACCGCCCTGCGCATCAAGAAGACCCTGTCCCAGCTCAGTGTCCAGGAGGACATCAAAGTCTGAGAGGGTCCCGTCCCAAAGACCTGAGGAGAGCGCTTGGGACCCTGTCCCGCACTAAAGGATACGGAGAGCGAAAGAGAGGGGTCAGGGTCTTTTCAAAGAATGCAATGACAAAAGCAAAATGTAAAAGAATACTTCATAAAAACTCTCCTGCCAGTCTTTTTAAAGCCACCACTGTTTGAGTTGTGACAAGCCCTACCTCGCCTATTCAGCCAAAACTACTGACAAACCCTGTCCCCAACCTACCCCATCCTTCTGTCCCTGCAGCCCCCCTTCTCTGTTCTGTTCCTACTAAAATGTCTGCCAACGCAATTACTGCTACTACTAGTATTGCCCCTGACAATGCCCATGTTAATCTCAATGGCAGGATATATACTGTATACAACTGTGTATTTAGTAACAGAATGTGTAATTTAATTGTAAACTTTTTTTAAGTAACTTTCCCGAAAGACTTATCAAAGGACACTAATGGTTTTACCCTATAGATTAATTTATTTTTGTTCTGTTTGTCTTTATACTGTATTCATGCCATGTTGAATTGCTTTTGGGAGAGGTCTAACTGTTTTGAGTGTTTCTTTTGTCAGGGAGTATATAGGGGGAATTTCTATGAATGCTGTGTAGGGGTCATTCCACCAATTCGGTGCCTTTTGGGGAAAAAAACGTTCGATTTCACAAAATGTTTACATTCTGTCATTAAGAGCACATGTTCAACTTAATAAAAAACGTTTTCCCATCTCAAGAGGTAAAAAAAAAAAGACTATAGTACGTGCCTATCAAGTAAAGTAATAAATATATAGGTTGACCGTAACAGGGTTGACGATTTCCTCTTAAATCAGCAGCAGGGAGGGGCAATTGAATGCAAGCTTCACAAAAAAAACATCAAAAAAACATTCTAGCCTGTCTAACTATGGGTAACATGGTTGATGTGTTATGCTCGACCCACTCAATTTTCCACCACAAAACACCAGAAAATTGCCAAAAAGAGTAGAATCAGCTCACCTGCTTTTACACTATGATTTCACTATTCGATGTTCAGAGTTTCACCATATTAAAACGAGAGTTCAGTTCACGTAACAGGGTTGACCTTTAAAATTAGGGACAGGTATTTTTTTCTCCTTAAAATGAATCACTAATCACATGAAATATATAATAATCTTCAGAAATGACTTTGTCAAAGCAGCAAAATAAATAGTGCTTCACAATTATGGTGAAAACTTAGAGAAATGTTGAGGTTAAGTGGGTTAAAATCTTCCTGGAAGTCAGAGGGTGCATGGAGGGACATGTCAAAATGCTGAATTCTGGCACTTTAACAAGTCTTCATATAGAACATCTGATTTATTGAATTCTCCCTGTGGTCTATATTAAAGGGCACTTCATTGAATATAACAGGCTTTTAAAATTAAATATTGGTGCACAATTTCTACTTAAAATATCAAAGGGGAGCAAAAGGCACTAATTTGTGGAAACGATCCTGTTGTAGACGGATCTCTGTTGTACATACAAACTAAGAAATTGCTTTTAAAATCCATGAGGACCAAGTCTTCCTCATTTATCGGGTCATGTTATCTATCATTTATGGTAGCAGTGGTCTATGAGTCACTGAGATATCAGCTTACATAGATTTAAAGTAACTATGTTTCCCATTACTACATCCATTGTTGTGTTTTGTAACTCCTATTTCCCACTTAGAGGCAGGAATGGTCCATACAAACACCTGGCTTTATCGTATTTCATGGCGATGGACTGTATTGTAGCCATTTTGTAAACACACACATCAATTGTGGGTTGCTGTTTGTAATTATTTTTTTATTATTTTCTCACAATACCTCATGTATGTTTCCCCTCAGGTGATATTCTCCCTGACCAAGTATTATCACTGTACATACAATAACTTTTTAAGGTGTGACTATATATGACCCTTTTTGATTTGAGTTTCCATTGATATTTGAATAATGTTTTGGAACGTTTGCCAACAGTTGAACACTGGTTACTGGTCTTGGATGGGAGACAATTGGAGAGGCTTATATGTGCTGTCAATCATCCACTGATAAACCAATGGAATATATCCAAAGCAACACTACTGTACACTCTGAGTCATTGAAAGTGCATACTGAGTCCCTCCTATTTGATGTCTCCCATTACTATAGAACGGTATTTGATTTTGAGTCAATATTCCACTCCATATTCATAAATTCTACCCCACCTACATTACCTCTTTGATATGCAAATTGTAAATCGTTTGTATAATGGATGATGATTTATCTCTGATGTCAAAAATCTTATTTCCACCATGTATTTTGTTTTCAGGAAAATAATATGTACTGTTAAATTTGTCGCTTTATTTAATTTTTTTGTTGAGCACAAACTCCAAAGGTACGTGAAGCCTCCTTCCTTGTGTTCTTAATCCTGCCAGTTTACTGTGAGTTCCTATAAAAGGCTCTGCAGGGCCAATGTGTTCACTCCACAGCACCTCAGCCAAACCGTTCTCAACACCCCTCACTGTTTTACTGCAGATCACACCAGTGAAAGCAGAGGGTGTTTATAATATATTAATGAAGCATTTTAATCACAGTTCTTCAGATTTGGTGATTGGTAAATACCTCTCGCAGATTTCTTCACATTTTCAGAAAGCTAAGTAACAGTGAGGAGTCACCAGACCCTCTGTAAAGGGTGCTTATTCAGTGTGGCTGTAGCACAAAAAGATTGTCGTTTAACTTTTTTGTGAAAAAATTAATACTACTGATACTTATCAATGCTGTTCCACTGGAAATATGTATGGCCTGTATGTATTTATTTGATTTAATTTGTGACGATGTCATGCTCGCCTGTACTGTATAGTTTGTTTATAGTTCTTGGGAGATGTCCAAGAGGACATGGTGTGTGTACATGTGCATATTTTTCCTGAAAATGTGGTTACTTATGTTTTTGGCTGTGAGTGGGGTACAGAGCCTGGGTGTTTTCTGCGTACTGTTAGGAGGTGAGTCAAGATTTTCCGTCCTTGATCGGGGAGTGACCCTATGCAAACGTCATAGGCCATGGTTGGGATGTGTCTCTATGGCCTTGTTTTGAGCACATACTGTTATTAAGGGGAATTATGACAAGATGAAATGTTGTATGCTGTTGTATTGCACTATGGAGTGTTTAATGAAGCGATGAATCATGAGAACACCCAGGTCTCTGTCCAGACATCTGGACAAAGAAATCAAAATAAGCTTTTAAAACCGAGTGAAAACCTTTTCAGGACAAGTATCCAATCTTGTATATAGGTAATATTATATAGCCTATAGTAATAAATACAACTGTTTTACATTATTTTTGTCTGTTTATTTGCTCACACCAGTATGTACATCTAATGCAAAAACTGTTTCTAATCATTCATTTTGGTGTATGCATCTTTCAATATTTTTCGGATGCAACCTTAATTATGTCTTCCTACCCCTCATTCAAATCAAAAGGAAAGTTTAATGTCCCTCTCTATTCCCTGTAATAATGCTTCGTCCACAGTTGCTGATTCATGTTCACAAACGTGTGGTCAGCAGTCTCATTACCCTGACTTCAGGCTGTATTCTATCAGATCCGTGCTAGCCGACACCCGCATAGCAGTTGTTTTGGCGGTGGGAGATGCAACTGCGTTAGAGCTGTCAAATCCACAAGCGGCTCCCGGCATTATACCTAAAGCGGACATTGCCATTGGCTGCACAGTTTGTATTTGTATTTGAGGATCCCATTTAGCTGCTGCCAAGACCGCAGCTACTATTCCTGGGGTCCAGCAACATAAAGGCAGTTGCATTAAGATAATCCCATGCAGCCGTTTTTACAAGTTCAGACACTGGAATATGTGATGTAATCTACATTGATTAGGTTGATTAAAATCATTTTGTTTAATGATTTTCAATTTGAGCGTCATTTCTATATAGCCTACACGTTCTCGTTCGGAAATTCTAATGCGAGTGAGACGGGTGTGGCTTCTTGACAATGATCACGATTTGAAAGCTCCAACGCAGTTACACCGCCGACACATCAGCTATGCGGGGTGTCGGCTATCGCCGGTTAATGCTTGATCTGATTAAATCTAGGCCATAGTGTTACATCACATCCTGCTCATCCCACAACCTCTCGCTGACCTACACCCACTCAGTTACACATCAACCCTACTGCTTCACCAAGACAAAACATTCAAAAGTGCATGTCAAAACGAATGGCAGAAAACTGCAGAAAAACACAACCCCATGTAAGATAAATAATATGTATTGCTCATGCATTAAATTAGAACTTCAATTCACATGAGTAGTAGAAAAAAATCGTATTCATACTAAAAGTCAATTTTGAAAAATAAAATTTTAAAATGTACTGAGTCAATGGCCCAAGGAAGTCCTTTTCATTCATCGAGATTGGTTTGCCCTCGGAATGTGAAAAAGGAAAGTGCTGGAAGTAATGAAAGGCTCAAACTGAATCCTATAACAAGGATGAAAGAAAATGGAATATAGCCAGGGCAATAAGGTCATGTCTAATGCTTCACTGATCTACCTCAGGAGCGCTTACAACAGCCAATCAGGAGACTAGAAAAGGTTCACAAGCAAAAGTGACCGACTCCATCATGATCAATCCACACACACTCACGCTACATGTTGTTGAAAACTTTCTAAAATAAATCTTGTTGGGATTGGGAAATGAGTCAAACTTAAAAGGCAAAATAATTTATCACGTAGCTTTAGAAGGATTTTGAAGAACAAGGCTAAGCAAGCCCTAAAAACAACCCCATGTTACTGCCACACCATGAACCATTCCTCCAGTCTTCTGGGTCAAAATAAATGTGTGTCAAGACAAACAAGCACACAATTTTTTTTTACATTTTGTTACATTTACATAAATATTCAGTGGTTGTGCATCAATATATAAGGAGTACAACTCTAAAAGGACATCTTCTACAGCAGTTCCATCTCCGACATTCCAGACTTCACATACTGTAACCAAGGCAGCAGAGTTTCCATTGTAGATTTTTATATCTTCAAGTTCCACTGTGACATTCATTAACCTGTGATCCATGATTGGCTGGCTAGTCGTGCTTTAGAGATTCCAGACCTATGGATGATGGGTAAAGGAATGCTGCTCAGTTTAGGGCCAGGGTGGGAAGTGACTGACTCCTCTCTCCAGTGTATCTTCAGACCAAATGGGAGAGAATAGGTGGGGAATGGATTTGTCTGAGAAGTGGCAAATTGATCCCCTTCATATAACTACACATCATTCCTGTACTGTATAGGTCCACCACCTGCACATACAGAGGTTGTGTTTGGCTTCCCAGAATGGACATACAGCGCCACTCCATTGGCCACTTCTGGACCTGTTTCTTGTTTGGGTCTTTTTGGTTGCTTGGGTTTTGGCTTGGTTTACAGTGTTCCTGTATGTCCCTTGTTACTGTATGTGTCTATATTGCTTGATTGAGAAAGTCAATGGGACTTCACATTTTTATGGAGAGAGAGAGATAGAAAGAGGTCCTCCTGTGTTCTAGACGTACATTTGTACATGACGGGATATGTTGAAGATTCTTATCTTTCCCCTCTCTCACGTCACTCCTCTTCCTCCCTCTCTTCCAGGATCCTCATCTTCTCTATCCTTCCTGATCTGTTTGGGGGAATCTTTCCTTTATCACTTCCTCAAGCAATACCTGAAATACAAAACACCAGATGAATCTCTTTAGTTCACCTTGACAATGATTTAAATCCTTTATAAATCACAAAACAATTAACAGGTGAGACGTCGCCTCTCAGGGACTGAGTTGAAGCTAAATTACATTGACATTGTTTTCATTTGATTTATCAAGGTCAGTGCATAGAGCAGGTTTGTGTTTACCTTAGTCTGCTTCTTCATTAGTGAGAACCAGTGCCTGGAGGATGTCTGAGAGAGAGACGATGCCCTTCACCACCTCCTGCTCATCAACCACCACCAGCCTGTGCACCTGAGAGAGAAGAGAGAAAAGAGATGGAGAGAGAGACAGAAAAACAAACCATATGTTACACAAACTAAAGGCCAAGGCTAGAGTTCAGCGCCTGTGTGTATTTTACATTATGGTTGTATGTACTACTTGTATTGACCTTGACAAACGCCCAGGAAACTGTTTAAATTGTCGACCCAAACAGTAATAGTGTATTCACAGGTGTGTCTCCATCTCCCTCACCTCTGCCTCCACCAGTCTGTTGATGATGGACTCCAGTGTGTCGTGTGTGTTGCAGGTGAGCACTCCCTCAAAATTCTGAGAGCGGTGCTGCAGGGCTTTGGTCACAGTCACATCCAGGTTGTTGTACGTCTTCTCTGCTGCTAGGTTCTGTGTGGGGGACATTATTACTTCTCAATGCTGCTCGTGTTTGCTACTGTATTTGGATAGCAGAGATGAAAACACACAGACAAACACATACTTTCATCTAGGGGTTAATTGATTCCAGTGCAGAGTGAGCCCACCTGCTCCTGTTTCCCCAGGCTAAAGGCTAATAAACCTCAGCCAGTCCGCTGGTTGATAACAGCCAACAGGCTCTATATACTGCCTGCCCACTGGGTAAGAGACCCATTGATCTAGAACAGGAGAGACTTACTTTGGTCTGCACTGAATTCTTTGCCTTTATAAAATACTCTTACAGCACAAGGATACAGACAATTCTGGTTACGGTCTTTCTGTTTCGTCTCTTTGTCGGTCTCTCACAAACACCCACAATGAGCTAAAATGACAATATTTTCTGCTGACCAGTGACTATTCTGTTTAAAATACGGCCCATTGGTAGCACAGCTGTCCAGTACTTACAATGACATCGAATTTTGAGTAAATGTCCACCACTCGTCCTGTGTGTGAGAGAGAAATAGACACATGGGTACATGAGTACTACCTACCATTTACAACAGGAGTGTCTGGGTCAGACATGTTTAACAAACTGTCCCCTCGTCTCCCTCACTAACCATTGTCATCGACGACAGGCAGGGCAGACACTCTCTGGTCCACAAATATGCCCAGTGCTGTGTAGAGGGGTGTGTCAAAACGCACCACTGCAATCTTATGGAACGTTCCGATGCCCAGCTCCTCTAGAGTCTGGCCTAAGAAGGCAGGTTTTGCCATCTCCGATATCTGGGGAAAATAACACACAAGGTTCCACTAATGTAAGTGGCTTGAAAAACACATAGAAATGAAACACGGTATATTACCTCACAACAGAATCAATAAACACTGGGTGTGGACTTCATTAACAAGGCCTACAGTCATAGCACTGCTCTTGTCTTACCTTATCTACTGCTGAGAATGAGACATTGAGATAGCAGGTGATAAAATGTGGTAAAAGAGATGAACGGGGAGAGTGTAAGAAAGAGAGGATCACAAAAAAGACTCACAAAGAGCTTGAGGAATTTGAGGATCCTCTTGTGAGTGAGGATGTAGAGGGTGTTCCCTGTCAGAGGGTCGATCACAGGAAGTCTGTGGATCTTATTCTTCAGCAGAGAAGACACTGCATCATACAGACTGAAACGGGGAGGGAGAAAGCAGAAATTGAAACACATTTGTGTCAGTATCAAACATTAGTGCCAGTAAGCACCTGAATTGAGCTCAAGCTGCTTTGACCAACTGTGCAGTGACAACCCTCAACATTTCACCATGGCAGTAGACCTACCTTGCGTTAGGGGATATGCTGACGAGGGGCTTGAAGGAGTCTTGAAGGTAGACTTCTATGGTGAAGGAGAACAGAATAGGCAATAGTTAATCCACTGGCACTCCAGAAGGCTATCAGTCACTTATTGCTACACAGTTAATGAATGCCCTTACCTCTCCATGTCTCTATCTTGTGCTCCTCCAGCTCATATATCTGCACCTGAAACATTAGAACAGGAGAAAGTGCTGACTAACATAACAATGGGGGTGAGAGGCATGAAGGTCAACTGTTCATTAGACAGAAGGATGAGTGCTGCAAATCACGTGTCGCGCCTTTCCACGCTCCACCACCACTATGATTCAAAATGTGAAATTGAGATAGGGTATGCTGTAAACAAGCAAACTTAGAAACTGTGGAAGATAAGGACAGGCTGAAAGCTAGGACTTACCAAAGGCGACTTGTAGTAGCGATGGAGGATGATGATGAAGTCTGTGATTGTCAGCATACCTGCAGTGAGAGATCAGCAGGAGAACAGGGTCACCAGAGTCCAACAGAACTCTCCTCATTGTGCATTTCGAAATCTGCCAAAAGCCCAGCCAATAGAAGGTGATGGACTCTCTTCTTACCTACAAAACACTGCTTCTTACTGTCCCAGAGTGGCGCTGCTCTCACCCCATTGGACACCAGAGCGAAAAACGCCTTCTTTACCTATGGAGAGATTAACACAGTTATACACACAAACACAAAGCAGCATCTTTGGTCTAGATTTATTTGACAGGAAGAAGTTAAAAGCAGGACGTGGTCTTGCCTGCAGTGAAGTATCGAACACAACCAACTTGGAGCTGGTAGGGACCAAGTCATAGCACCGATGAGACTTCATAAACCGGGTGTAGACATTATACTCTGGGTCTGAGGAGAATGAGGAGAGGGAAAGGGTTCAACTTACTGTCCATTCCTTATATGCATTTACAATTGTAATATTTTTGTATTTAAAAGAGCTGCCTCAATAGATTCCAGAATGTATTACAATGTCACACTTTCAGGATTCCTTCCTACACATGCAACAGAATGCTTTTAAAACACTAAATGTAAAAAATTAAATAAAAAAGCACATGAACTATTTCTCATGATGCATAGGATTAAGATTGCCCCATCATGCTTTCATTGCTGTCTATTACACTATGCATTAACAGTAAAAGGTGGCTCTTTACCTTCTAGAAGTGGCTCCTTTTTACAATCCACATCAACAGCAAGTGGAATCTGAAAGAGAGTATAGGTTCATTGACTCATTTCCCCTAGGTGAGGCAAAATTCCAAGGAAATTAAATCACTTATGTTCTCTACAAGGCTTTTTATATTCATTACCACCAATGTGTTAGTCATGGCTAATCATCGCATAATTATATCAGGAATATAAAGTAGCCAACATACTGCTGTTTGAAAGCAGTTCAATAACGTTTGTTTGCTCCTCCTAAGCAGCAACAAACACTGCCGGGCACAGGTGCACTGCACCAACACAAATGGCATTATTTAGCCACTACTAAGGCATGGGAGTCATTGTCTGACGGTCCTTGTCGCATTTACATATAAGAACTTTTGGACAGAAAGGTAGACTACAAGCTTAGCTGGATCATAGCTAGGATACTAGACAGTTCCTACTGTCAATGTAACGCTTTACATGACAGCAGTCAAGTTTTCCAGATTTTGGACATTTACGAAGCTATGTGTCACTTGCCACATCATCATATTATGCATTTTCGATCATCATGATGTGGCAAGTATCACCTAGTTCGCCATCTAGAAGACCTCTCTGAAATGATAACTAGGGCTTGACAATGTCAACAGCTAACCATGGCCTCCAATTTGGTTTTTTAAGAGGCCATGATGTAAACTAATACTGTAACAAGCTAACAGTAACGTTACTGGCTGGTATGTGAAAACAACAGATGCAACTAACGTTAGCTAGCTAGTACGCTGGCTAGTTACGACACACAACCAAGTTGATCTTGCAAGTTAGCTAGCTGGCTTAGCCTGGCTAGCTAATAATGTGTCAACTTGAATGTAGTTGTAGCTAGTTAAACATCGAGTACTTTGCTTTAGACTAACGTTACTAGCTAGCTAGTTTAGCCTTGCTCGCGGTGTAGCTAAGCTACTTACACACTCCATATTCCATTCACTGTCTCGCCCTTGCTTGATCCTGTAAGGTAGCGACGTAACCACCAAACTGTTTCTCACGACGGACTTCTTTCCGAGATATCTGTTTGTTAAACTGGAGCTAGACGAGAGAATTAACACTACCCGGAAGCGCGAGAGATTGCCCCTCTACTTGACTTCCGATTACGCATGACCACGAAGGAAGGGTGCGTTTCCACTATAGAGTTCACAGTCACAAAGTCAAAATGTGCTATTATCGTAAAAATTCATGAAAACTAAAATTAGCTTTTTTGTCTTAATTTAAGGTTAGAGGTAGGCATAAGGTTAGCATTGTGGTGATTGCTGTAGGTTAGGGTTTAAAAACAGATTTTAAGAAGATCAATTGTGGGCGGGGTTTATGCATTTGTGGCTGTGATGGTAACTACTGACGACCAGGTGCCGTGGAAATCAAACCTCTGATCTGAAAACGTTGTAATATCTGAACCTATGGTCTAATTTAGGGATGAGCAATTTGCGGACCGCGGATCAATTTCCAAAAACGGTGCCCAGACCAAAAATAAATACATATTTAATTTGTACTTTTTTTAGGAACTCAGTCCAGGTCTCAACTTACTGTTGAGAGTTAGTAGAAATACACAACTGGTGAAATTTCGAAATTTGGTTGTGCATCAGCAATTTCTCTTGTTATGTCAGTCACTGACAATAACCACATTTCCATCCAGTTTTTATGCTAGTGTCGTATATGATGAATGGTGGCCATTATCGCTGTCAACAAAAAGTCCGTTATGCTGCATCGTGTCAGAAGTTTTTATTCATATCACGAGGTTACAGCATAAATTACAGACACGCGTTGCCTGGAGAACGACTTCCCAGATTGATATGGTCGTTCTGCCGTCTAATCGTTTACCCCCTATTTATAAACAATGCAAAGGGAGGGGCTACTCCCTTCTTCTGGCCAATCACCAGTCTCCCCTCGGCCGTCACCCTCCAAGCGGCACATTTCAAATAACATCATAAAACCTCCCCCCTCTGGCCTGAACAACCAACATTCCATTCCGTCATGAAAAACATTTAACAACGACATAATCGTCAGATACGATATTCCCCCCTTTCGAGACGAAATAAACGTCTCGAAAACAAACAGAATAAGATTATGACTATTAACCATTTATCTCATTGAATATTCTTAACCTTAAACCCAAAAACATTCTCCTCTAGAGTGTAAATACCTTTCTTTGAAATACCTGTTTATGAAATGTGAATACATTACTATGACCTATGAAGAAATCTCTATGGAGGGTAAATACATTACTATGACATATGAACAACTGTTTATGAAGTATGAACACATTACTATGAATTATGAATAAATCTCTATGGAGTGTGAGAGCGAAAAACTGTCCAGCAGCCATCCATCCATATCAATCAAGACAGTAAAATTCTCTCACCGTCCCTCTGCCCCAGGCAACCACCGTCGGTACTCCAGATAACCTCATAACTCATGTAAATGCATTTGAAACTATGATGCCATTAAATACACATGTAAACAAAATCCTATCCATAAATATCCACTCTCAGGCTGGTCAACCCATAGGACCTGAAAGGGAATCTCTCCCTGCTTAAACCTTCTGTCCCTAACCCCATCGAAATAAACAAAAGCATCTACGATCCTCATCTGCATTCAATAACATCAAACATCATTCTACTAAAATCAATACCTAAGAATATGACACAATTATGTATTACACATCAAATATGTCTATATTTCATTGCAGACACTGGAATGTAGTCCACTACACTTCCTCTTCCTGTAGTGTCCTCTTCCAATGGACTTGTTGATGATGGAATCAGCCACACCCTCCTTGTTTCATCTCCTCCAGTCATATTGTCTTTGTTTGAGTATTCCAATCTCCACATGTTCTCCCACATGCTTCTGGAATGACAAGAAAATAAACGACCAAACAGTATCCTTTGCAAAACAACCACTTTCAAATTAAACCTCCATTTCACCTAAGAATTTAAAAAATGATACATAAATGATGCATGAATCACATTATCCATTCCCCCCTTTGATTCATAAATCATACTAAAAATCATACTAATATTGAAAAACCAATTTGAAAAATCATAAAATAATCCAAAATGATATTTATCCCTCAGTTCCACTTGTCCATCTTTATCCAGATCAGGAACAGTCCACACCGGCATCTGAGTGTTGTCTCCAGGCACCACTTCTCCAACCTATCTCAATCTCATAACTTTCTCAAAAGTCAGTACAAACATCACACAGTGTTATCAAAGCTTAAACTAGAATCTGACCCATCACTGCCCCTACTGGCCTAATTGATCTTGCAACCAAATCCTTTCAAATGCATCCCTTACAATGCATCTATAACCCCAGTGATATTATCTGAACTATCTGGACTCACAGTAATACACTAATATTTATCAATATTATCTTCCCAAATGTTACACCATACCATGAATGAAGTCCCCCCTTCTCCCTTAAACTTATTCTTCAATGATAGACTTGAAGTCTATGACATGTCGCCATGTGTCTGCTAAATGACTGAAATGTAAATGTAATGTCACCCTTTTAACCCTAGATTTAGCTGTGTCCAATGCTATCCCTCTTATAATGGTAAAACCTCATATGGAAGCTTCAACGTTGACCTGTAACAACATCCTATCCCCATAGGGTAAGAATATACTCTATCATAATTTCCCCTTATCCTCTAAAATTCCCATAGTCACATTGTCAGTCAAAAGCTAATCTTTTAACCATCAAAGTCCTGCTCTTCTTACTACCTGATATATAAAAAGTAACCTATTATTTGTCATTACTACCCTTAAGGTCATGTTTATCCAAATTTATCATACAACATCACCCTGATCTTCCCATAAACATACCCCTTACCTCATATGTTTTATTAGAGCAAAAACAACTTTTATCCCTCAATATTTCACCTGAATACTTCAGAGTTTGCAATTACCTGATTTTACTTTCTCTCTAACCAATGCTCATAGGGTAATCTTTTCACCCAAGAACACCTAAACCCTACTGTTTTGACAACAACATTATTTTATCTGTCAATGACTGTTGCCAATTCCACAGTTATGACAAAGCTCAAAACTGATCCACACCTGACAGAGGCTGCGCAACCGTCTAACAGGTTCGGGATGGAATTCCCAACAGACATGGACCCTCAAGATTCCCCACTGACCCCACAGAATGAGTTAATCTATCTCTAATTTCCACAACAGAGGAACGAGCAGCACTGATCAGATGCCCCCCCCCCCTCTGTCATCAAAATCAAAAGACCCCATACTGTAGCTTCCATGATGAATCTCTATTCTCCATTTCAGATTAATCTATATTGTTTCTATCTGCTCTATTTTAACCCCATTCGTACCATAACCTCCTGAGTCCCTCTTGCTACCTCTTTAATTTCAGAACAATTGTTGTCAGTATCATACTCCTATATTTGCTATTGCCATAGTATCATTAATCCCTTCCAAAGTTACCCTTAAAGTAGTTGATTTAGCTGCTGTATCAACCCTAATTACTTCTAGTGCAAAATTTCCCATTATTTACATTTACATTTACATTTTAGTCATTTAGCAGACGCTCTTATCCAGAGCGACTTACAGTCGGGAATCGAACCCACAACCCTGGCGTTGCAAACGCCATGCTCTATCAACTGAGCTACATCCCTGCCGGCCATTCCCTCCCCTACCCTGGACGACACTGGGCCAATTGTGCGCCGCCCCATGGGCCTCCCGGTCGCGGCCGGCTGCGACAGAGCCTGGATTCGAACCAGGATCTCTAGTGGCACAGTTTGCACTGCGATGCAGTGCCTTAGACCACTGCGCCACTCAGGAGTACATTATCCTCTGTGTATTATCTACTGTTGGAGTGACTACTGTCCATTCAGTTCTACTCCTCCTGAACTCCCTCAATGACTGTGAAAACTTCTACAGACTTCAAATCTTCCATTATAAGCGTTACTTTATGACTTACATAGCCCTTTAACCAATAATTCCTAACCGAAACAAATTCTAATGCTTGCCCTAAATAAGTACACATATATTCTCCCTAACCTTTCTCTATAATATTACGCAACATAAGTGAACAGTCACTCCTAACCCTATTCCAAACTATACCTCCTTTTACTCCTGGTCCTGATAACAATACTTATTCTCCATAATTATCTCTCCATATGAGAGAA